GTTGGCATATATAAGCTGCACATCATATGTATCTGTGTATAGTACCTATATAAACATGTATTATCTTTGCAGTAGCTTCAAGCATGGACCAGACAGGTCTGTGGCTTGCCTGATGATTGACCAGGTGGGTGAGATTTGCTGGTAGCTCTGGTTTGCTCACTGGAAACTGCAACAGAATTGAAAGTCTTGGTAGTAAAGTGCTGACCCCCTCATCTTTTTATAGATCAGTATTTTCCAGCTCAAAGTCTGCACGCTTATTTAGGAGGTATCGCTATGGTCTTAGGCAGGCAGATGTAAATCAACTCTTACTGTGCTCCTGGTCTGTTGGCAAACCGGGAGCAGTGTAGCTGCTAACATGGCTTGGGGTCTGAATGAATATTCCTGGTCTGGAGCTGGATGATGCCTGCTCAGTTCCTTGAGTCCTCCTGCAAAAGGCACAGAAGGTGTCCCCTCGCCTGCTTGTCTCCAAGCCTGGCCATCTTCTGTGGGGTGTTGGTATCCCTGGGAGCAGGATTTGTGTTGGAAGTCTGTTTAATTGGCAGGTTCTTGAGTGAGAACCTTCTGGGGAAAGAGCATATTTTTAAGATGGGTTGACTCTGGCTTTGATCACCTATTAGTAATAATTAATAATGGCTTGATCATCCCGATGGTGTTCTCGATGGTTTGGCATTCTTCCCAGGCAATGTAGGTTACCTGTTATACTCTTCACGTGTAACTTGAATTTCAGCATCTAAAAAATGCTGGGAATAAAAAGGAACCCAGTTCTCTTTGCACAGTTGAAAAACTGGCTGAGGTGCGCAAAGCAAAGAACGCTGTGAACTGGGGGCTTCCAGCCAGAGCTGGTCAGCTGAAGGACGGCGAGCTTGCGTGGATGTGGTAAGTGCTGGGACTTGGGGAGCAGAGTCTGGGCCTGAGCTGTGTACTTGGAGTGGCACAGGAGGGCACCAGGTAGAGCAGCTTTGCCTGCATTTCACTGGTCAGATGAGGCAGGACAGAGTGGAAGCAGCATGGGTGTATGTGCTTAGTGGTGGCAAACACAAGTCCTATCTTGTGTAGTTTATTGCTGTGACCTAGCTAAGATTTTGGGGTGGGTGCTGTGGTGTATTTGGCTGTCCTTGTTACTGCTACAAACAGCTGAGCATGGCACTATGATCTCTTTTCCACAATAATGAAGAGTAGCAAAGGGAAGGATGCTTCATAACTGAAGTGCAGAGCATCGTCGTTGTAGTCAAGAGGGAGATGCTGCTGCAGGTTTGCAGAGGTATCAATGGTTAAATAATCAGTTTTTCAAATAAACATTTGATTAGGAAAGCCTTGAGGAGGTTCTGTCCAAAAATAAAAAGAAAATATTAAAGGCTTAGTGGTATTGGCTTTCTTGAGTCTTCCCAGAATGCTGTGTTAACCACAATCACGTCTCTAAAGCAGGGAGGTGTTAAACCAAGTGCTCCTATGGGTTTTCCTGCGTTTTCTGGAGTTGGTGATGCCCAGTGAAAGTATCTGCCATCACTCATGCTGAATTCATTCTCTTTGGTATAACTAAAGGCAGAAGGACTAACTCCAGCAACCTCAGAGCTCTGATTTTTAATTGGGGCAGCCCCAGTTTCTCTCAAACGGTGTACGTAGGGTTGAAAAGTTCGACATGTAGCAGGGATTTTCATTCTCTTAAGGGTAAAGAGTTGGAAGGGCAGGTGTAGGAGCACTGTGTGTGTTGGTAGGAGTCCTGGTGTGTTGCTCCTAAAAAGGTTTTCTTACTTTGAAATCCCAGTGACTTGTTTTGTGGAAGGCCTTAAGTCACTTGACAAAGGATAACTCTCTGAAATCTTCTGTCACTGAATATGAATTTTGAAGTTAATGGAGGTGAAATATGAAAATCCAGTTACTCTGCCCTGTTTAGGAAAATGGATAATGAACTGACAGCTAAAAGCCTTCATGTCTAGGTCCAGAAGTCTTCACTGCTGACAACTTGAGAGCTGGCTTTACATTTTTACCAAGCTGTGGAAGAGCCTGGCAAAAGAGATGTAGGCTTTTAACCAGTTAGCCGTTAGATCAGAGGGTTTCTCTTAATTTAGCTTGGCCCTGGGTGACTGCCATAGCTGTTTTTCCCCACACAAATTCTTCATGTGTTTTTGATACAAATTTCACTGTGAGTCTTTTGATCTTCAGACATCTGCTTTTTGCAGCTGTGCATTTTGCTTGCTCTGTGTTAATGCTTTCATAGCTGACTAGGAGTATTTTTTGGGTACTAAATTCTCTGAATACACTCTAGTAAAAGTGAGCTGCTTGTAGAAACAGCAATATTGTGTTAGACTCCTGGTTCTCATGTAACTGCTGTCTTGCATGGTTTTCTTGACTGTACTTTTTCTTAGTATTCTTCATGTAATTGGTTTCCACAAACCTTGGCATTAATTTTTTTAATGCCTGGTGATGTGTTGGTGAATGAATGTTGGTAAGATTCTTGATTTCCATTCCCACCCCTGCTTCACTTAACTTAAGGCGGAGTTGCGGGCCTCGTGGCGGAGTTGCGGGCCTCGTGGCGGAGTTGCGGGCCTCGTGGCGGAGTTGCGGGCCTCGTGATGTACAAGCCAAACTCAGCTTGGGTTTACTTTTTCATTTTAAGTCTTCATAGTTACATTAATTTGTAAAGAGATAAAAACTGATTGTATACTTTCTCTTCCTGTTTCTGTCACAGGGTACTATTAAAAATCACTGCTTTTCTAGTATTTATATGTATAATTCTTAGAATGGGTGACTCTTGAAGCTTGCTGTGTGTGACAGTTATGTTTTCTGTGTTACGATTAGTCCTGTTTCTGTTAGCTTGTATTTTTGGAATAGTTGCATTACTTGTTGTATCTTAAGCAGTTCAGAGCCTTTGAGAAAATAATCACTTTTAAGTGAGCTGTATGAGTTACCTGCATCATCATGCTATCTTCTTCAAAGTGAAACAGCAGTAATTTGTCCTTTCATAGCAATAGAGAATAAAGGATATTATTGACTGAGTGAAATAGAAATGCATGTACTAAACTTAAAAATTTGAAACCTCTAGCAATTTAAACTCCTTTCTTGTATAAAAGATGGTGCCAAATGGACACAGTTTTTCAAAGATTGTCTCTAAAAGATCTTGTGTTGGTTTTGGTGGGGTTGGGTTTGGTTTGGTTTGGTTTTTAAACCATGTTGCTATACCTGAGCTTTTCTGTCCAACAGTGACATAAGAACCAACTGGAACCTTTCTGATGCTCATGTGGGACCCTGCTGTTCCCAGCTCTGGTTTGTATCCCTGCATCCGAAGATTTCTAGCGAAATCTGTTTCCAGAATGAACGTTAAGCGTGTGGAAATAGGAAACCTCTTCACAGCCATCTAGGAATGCTCTTAAGTCTCATGTTGCTGGCGGAGAGGAAGTGGGGAGATTGAGTACCACTGGTTTGTGTTTAACCTCTAGTGTTCCTCTTGTTTTCTGAAGGCATTATGTGGCTTCCTTTCCATAGGACGTGAACATAAAATACTGCTGAGCTTGATTCACAAAAAAAAGGTCATTGTAGCATTGTATCTACAGAAATGCTTCTGCTTTAGCAACCAGTCAGTCTGTATGCTGTGCTTCAGAGAAATGCACAGTGTGCTGCGATGGGGTTACTTTTTCCAGTTGAAATTCTGCTTTATTTAGATTCTGTTAGAGGATCTTGGGAAGGGATTTTTTCCTGTAGCTCAGTGTCTTTAGTATCTTAGCAGTTACTGTATAGGCTGTGCTGCAGAATTGTTTGTGACAACCATTGAGCAATTCCCTGTTTTGAGGAAGTCAGCAAAGGTCAAATTAAATAGTTGCCAGCAGCACCATTTCAAAGGAAGATACTCTTCAACCTTGTTTTTGACAAGGTTTGAAGACTTTCTCTAGGCAGCTAGCCCTTCCTTGAAGATGCATTGAGATTTTTCTCTTACGTTGGGCCAGGGCAGAATTGAACTCTTGTGGATCCCTGTAGGTCAAAGCCTCGTACATTTTCAGTTGCTGAAGTAAGCTCTAGTGAGGGATTCATTAGAAAATGCCTCCAGGGGCTGCTGTTTTTTCTTCTCCAGTGATCAGTGGCTCTGTGAGGCTGCATTACCCCATAACACTGGTCAGGGAGTAGCAGAGGACTATGGTCAGCCCCAGTTAACCGCCTTGTTCCTGGACCTGTGGTTTCCCTCACTGTCTGCTCAGAGCTTCCTTCTGCTCTGGTAGCACCTCTCACTTTTCCTCCAGGGCTCCTCTCGCACCCCAGGATTGTCCAGGCACTGGAATTGGGGGCAGTGGGCAATGACATCAGGGCTCAAGGACACTTGTAGGGGTGACCTCAAGAGAAAGTGAGGAAAGAGCAGAGCTGGCAGCATGGGGCCTTAATGTGAGATGTTCAGGAGCTGTTGTAGATTCACAGGTGTACATTTTGTGACTGTTTTCTGCATGCTGGCAGATACCAGGGGATCTTTTGCTTTGGTGTAGATTAGAAATGTACCTCTGCTCCTCTGTGCTGCCGCTATAGGGATTACTGAAGTGAGCAGTGGGTGGTCTGGACTGTTTACACTGATACATTTGCACTGCTCCAGTGTCCATCAGTAAAGTAGTTGACTGTCTCTGTATCTATTTTTCTACAGTTTCTGTGCCATTATTTGTTTACCAAGCTGTTTTAAAATAAGCTTTTATTTCTATTTATTTCTGTTATGGGAAGTCTGAGCTGATCCTGGATCCTGTGGTATTTCTGTACTGCAGAAATGAGCTCTGTGAGTATATGTCAGGCATTACTCTGAGTATTTTTGTGGATTAGCAGCATTCTTGCATGTTACTTTTAGAATATTGTGTTGCTGTTGATGCTTGTGTTGCTTCTGACAGCTTTGGGTGTTCTGGAGAAAGAAATAATCTCAATGTCACTTCATGCATATTGTGTCTTTTTTCGGTTGTTCAGTACAGCAGGTTTACTTAAAGAAGGTATTAAAGACAACTATTGCATCCTCTTCGTTTTGTCATTGCAGGTGGCGACAGACAAGGTTGCAGGAAAGCTGAGCTCCACTCTCTCATGGGTGAAGAACACAGTCTCGCACACCGTCAGTCAAATGGCCAGTCAGGTGGCAAGTCCATCTGCCTCTTTACACACTACATCCTCCTCTACCACTCTGTCTACACCTGCCTTATCACCGTCCTCACCAACGCAGCTGAGTCCGGACGACTTAGAATTGCTCGCTAAACTTGAGGAACAGAACAGGTGAATGGAAAACCTTCTGATCTTGGAAGCGCAGTAATGAGACTAAAATTGGTTTATTGCCATTTCAGTGTGGAGGCCGTGAAAGAGGGGAAATAGGTAGAACTTTGTGGCATGTTTTGAGGCCCCAGGGTTTAAGAACTTGTGTTCTTGTGCTGTGTTTTACAAGTTCTGTTTTTGTGGATCTCTAAAAGGTGTTTTTCTCTCCTGGTTTATAGGAGTGTTCATAGCTGCCTCTCATCCTAAGAAATCACACTGGAGCCATGTGACTTTCAGTATTCAGTTTGAAATACAGTATCTCAGGGATGAGGCTTTCATATAACCTCCTCACCTTCTTAGGTCAAAACTTCTTTGAACGTTTTGAAATCTTAGATTTCTTGAGTTCTGTTTTTTCCTGTTTTTTCCATTTTTACCCAGTTCTTCCTTTCCACTATATAACCCAGTTTTAGATACTAAATAAACTATAAAACTATATATATCTTTGGAGATAGAACAGTATTCAGCCATCTTCCTGCTGTTACACTAACGGTGGCAGATGCATAATGTCTTAATTTCATGAAACGTAAACTCCTTATCAGTCCTTTCCATCCTGGCTTTTTTCATCCTAAGCAACTGTTTTCTTGGCAGCCTTTCCACCTGTGTATATTTATCTGCACTATTTACAGTTCATGATGCAACTTTCAGTTGGATCAGTAGCTCTTGACTGCGCAGTGATAGCAAATTGGCAATCTCCCTAAGAAATAACGTTGCACTGAGTGATTTCTTAATGCTGAATTTCCAGAGTGCATACTTATTTGCACTTTTGAGGTGGAACCTTGGAGTCATCCGGTCTCTTGCAAAGCTTGGTTATGTTTGACAAGTACATTTCAGTGATTCATGCAAGATTGACAGTAAAGGAGAACTTGAGCTCCAGAGAAATTTTGGACTTGGCAGCTGTAGGGCTTTGTGCTGTGGTGAAGTGCAGAGTTTGAGAGTTCAGCTCTAATGTCTGTTCCAGCTCCTGCTGCTGTGCTGGACTTTGCACTGAGGCATGTTGGGGTTTTTTTGACTCTGTTGATTGTTATGATGGTGATAGCATTCAATAGAGGAAAAGAGTAACTGGGAGGAGGAGGTGCTAATGCCATTGTCACCTGGCATATGTCTGCTCTCATGGTTGTACTCTGCAGCCTCATGGCAATGCAGGTTATAGGGAACTCATTAAATCTGTCTAGTTCTTGACTGAGAATGGAAGGCAGCTTCTTGAACCACCTCATCCTCTTGTGGTTTCTGAGATGGTCTCTTCTTCAAAAACAAACTACATATAAGTTTTGCTGTGCAAATGAAAATTGATCAAAAGATGAAAAAGAATGAGTTAGAGTGCACTTTTTTTCGTTCACGACTAAGTGACTAGCTTTTATTTGGAAAGCAGCACTACCTGTTTTTTGGACCACTTACCTGTGTTGAAGTGTAATGTCTTGACACCTAGAGTCATCTCATCGAGCCCCGCAGTTAGACTTGCTCCTTGTTGAAAGAAGAACATGAGCTTGGGCTTGCTGGGCTTTCTTTTTCAAGTCAGCTTTCTTCATTTAGTAAACAAGCCAGCAAATCTTGCCCAGTTGTATTTAATTTTAGCCAGACCTGTTGTTCAGTCCCACATTAGTCTTGTGTGTGAATTCTAATTGGAGGCTATCCTATCAGGTGTATCTTTTCTTGTGAGATACTGCACATTAATACAGAAATCTGATGCTCCTCTGCTGAGTGCACGGTAGTTTCAGAACAGTTTGACTCTGCATTTCAGCACAGTGGCACTTTGTTGACAGGGAATTGTACTCTGAACACAGGGAACTATTCTTCTTTCTGCTTGCTGGAAGAATTGCTGTGATAGATATTTTCAAAGGTTTTCTTTTCAGTGTTGGCTTTTATGTCAATAAGGAGAATATTAATTAATTAAACAGCTAGAAATGGTAAGAAGTCAAATTGTATCAAGTTATGTCTTGTGGCACTCTGTAATCCAATTATACTGAAAGTCCCCTCAGAATAATGAGGTAGCTCAGTCCAGAGTCCTGGTGGAGCTGTTTGGCATTAGTAAATCATTTATAAAGCTTTAAGTGAAAGAAACCAGTGACTGAATGCCACAGAACTCTACTTACTGTAAAAAGAACTTCCCGTGTTCAAAGCTAAGGACAATGAGTTTATCCAGGTAGGTCAAATTACAGAAACTTCACATAACTTGTGTATTAAGCTGTGAAAACTGACCGTGACTAGTTAGATCCTTGTTTTTATAGTTGGAATGTTTATTCTGTGCTTGGTTTTCCTCTGTAATTTGAATTTGATCTTTAGGCGTTGCCTCAGATTGAGGAGTTTCAAACTAAGTTTTTGTTATGGATCAGTGCAGGCCGGGTTTCCAAACATTAAAGATGATGTTTTTACTCTTTTTCTCAAAACAAGATTTTCTGCATTCCATTTAATACGGACTAAATTACAACCGGCCTTGAAAAAGCCTTTCTTTCTCTTTTTTTTCAGAAGGATGATGATTAAACCCTTTTCCAAACAAAATACTGCTGCAGAGATTGTACTACTTGTCTTCATGAGTTAAATTACTTTTCTTCTCTCTAACTTCCATGAACGTCAGTAGGTGAAAGCTGGGAACAAGGAGAGCCAGTATAAATATTTCTGTCGTAGCAGAGAGCTTGAGAGTTGTAGGTATACTAAAATCTATATACAGATACTGTGTAAGTCGGGTTATAATTAATTTAATATCTAAAACCTAACCTGACCTTGCTGAAGTGCTGGGGGGGTAGCTTTTGTGGAGGTGCATTCAGAAATTATTCAACCGGATCGCTCTGATTTACAGCCGTTGGAATCCTTTGAAGTTAAAGCACAAATGAAACTCTTGGTACAGCAGAACCCTTTTGCAAGTTAGCCTGAATTCTTGCTCTTACCTGTGTTACCAAAAAGAAACCCCAAACCCTGCTCGTGGGGCTCAGTATTAGTTGTGGATAGACAAAGCTCGTCTTCTTGCCCAGAATCCCCAGCAAAACGGGAGGCCATAGCAACCAGCAAATTGGGAGGTCTCTTCTGCAGCTTGTCCAGCGCGTGGCACATCTCTACGTACACCTTGCTCCCCGATAACCCCAGAAATTCTCACGTCTGAGCTCTGGGTTTTAATTAGACATTCATTAGCTCTGCTAACTGCTGCTGTTGTCTGGCCCTCATTTGTTACGTCTGCGGTTTTTCCTGTGCGTTTGTAAAACACCATGTTGATTTGTCAACAGGAGCCAGTCAGGTGTTTTAAAATTGCACCAGGTTTTAATTCTTCTTTATTATTTAATTATTAAACGTGTAATCGTGTAGACTTCTAGGAGGCAAATTTTTTCTTTCAAATTACTGTCTCTTTTTGCAGTACTTCAACATTTGACACTGCTATTGAGGATATTTAACTTCCTTATGTTCTCTGTGTCAATCTGATGCACAGCAGCTGTACTTTTTTCTGTTGCTGGTTAAATCAAAGCCCTCTTGCTGGTATTTGTGCCCCAAAACGAAACTTGCACATCTTCTCTGTAGGGCCACTAATCTCCAGTTAATAGATGTGTAAAGGAGTGTTGGACTTGCAATGCCTCTGTACTTCCTCTAATCTTTATATTAAGATCTAGTTCATAGGATCACAAAACACCTGTATTAAAATCTCGCTTAGTGTTGTTAGTGCCTGATGTGACATTTTTATCATCCTTAAAATGCTGCAACGTGAGCTCTTCTGTCTGCAGAGTTACTTGAGCTCTCCAGATGAAACAGTAACATGGACCAGTGATTTTTTTTCCAAATTTAGTACAAATGGATGTTGGAAAAACTATTCCACTGAACCTTCAGGTGCATTCTTTGCAAAGAGGTTGGGATAATTGACTTCTAAACAAACAATTAATGGCGTGGTGCTGTGATTAGAAGAACTTCACTTTGGTTTTTGTGTGCTTTCTTTGCAGACTCTTGGAAACAGATAGCAAGTCCTTGCGGTCAGTAAATGGGTCAAGAAGAAATAGTGGATCTTCTCTTGTATCTAGTTCCTCAGCTTCTAGCAATCTCAGCCATCTTGAGGAAGACTCATGGATCCTGTGGGGGAGGATTGTGAATGAATGGGAAGATGTACGGAAAAAGAAAGAAAAGCAAGTTAAGGTAGTATTTGGACACTGGTTTTTAGGATATATTTGTACTGTGATATGAAGGATACTGCGTTTCTCTTCCTGTTGGTCATCTTTTTAAAAAATAAATACGTAATCAAAGCTTCCAGTTGCATCTGTTCCAACCCTAAGCCTTAGTGCTTCGTATGTAACTGGTAACAGACTTTGGTAACAGTTTTGCCAAGCAAATGTCCACCATTTAAAACTCGATGCATTTGCTGTATCTTGAATACTAACACTTTCAGTCTACCTCTGAGGGATTCCCATGTGTATGGGGAAGATTTGCTTCATGTTTCCAAAATCAACTTACTGAAAACCCCCTTAAGGACAGCTGATAGCTGGACACTAGAATTATTTTACCTCTGAGCAGCTGACTTTTGAAAGCAGTCTTACTGATAACTCTACCATATGAGTCTTTCTTGTAGTTTTTTTTGTGCATGCCAAGTGTGTTGACCCCAGGGATGAGCTTAAGCAGAAGAACACATAGTTTCTAAATTGAGTGGATCAGACAAACTTGGACCAGTGTGTGTCCAGTCTGGGTTAGTCGTGGGCATGTACAGAAGTGGAATTCGATTACACTTTAAATTCAAAGTAAAAAGCATCCAGGGCATTTGAACGTACCCGTGTTTCGGAGGCAGCAAGTACAGCAGCGTGGGATTTTTCTGTTCATAGGCAAGTCTGTTCTGCTTTGGTTCTTTATTGGCTCTAGTCTGTAGTTTTATGTGCAGAATACAAATTTCAGGGTCTTTTGAGCAGTTTGAAATGTGTGTGTATGAATAGGTTGTGGGAAGGGAGAACAATGGGCTAAAGTAAAGTATCTTTTATGTGAAGCAGTTGTGAAGAGAGAACATGACTTGAGAGAGGAAACAAGGGAAGAAAATGAATTCAAGACCTCCTGCTTGCATAGGGAGAGCAGTTTCTGGAAAGGTGTTCACAAAAGGCCATGAAAGGAAGGCCACATGAACCTGCCAAGAGAAAGGAGAAGTGAGATGGTAATGAGTAGATCTGCTTGGATAGAATTCATTCGAACTGCCTGCGTTTGAACGTTTTCAAGTGTCACAAGTATCACTCGTTTTTACGGCTGGCCAAGTATAATTTGGAGAGCTAACTTTCACTAAATAATGAATTATATTGCTAGTAAGTTTTCCTTTGATGGTTAAATAATTCTCAGTATATTTTTTTGGTTTTGTTTGTCAAAAGTCACCCTAAGCTGTGTCATTCTGCATTTACGAGGGAATACCTGAACATCCATACCTATTTCCTGATGGTGCCAGTAGGTGTGAATTTAGCAGCGTAGGTATCTTGTTGTCTTGGCTGTAAAAGCTGGTCTTAAGTTATTAGAGATCTGCTAAGTTTTTAAGTTTTAGGCATAGGTGTAGATACCTTCCTGCATAGACTGGCACATTGTCAAGCAGGCACATGGTAACTTAAAGCAAGACACCACTTGCTAATGCTTTGTTATTAGTAGCCCTTGAGGCTTTAGATGACTGATCTGCAGTCTGATGGTGTGTTGTTGGCACACGATAGCTAGAGACAGATGTGGAAAGCTGATGTGGTAGGGTTGGTGTTGTGGAGTTGGAAATCTTCTGGGAGATAACACAGGGTGTTGTGGACAGGAGAAATAGATGGAGTGGCATTACTAGGGTGGTTCTGAAGGATGCTGGAGATCTTGGGGATATTGGAAAAATGAGGTCAGTGATGCAAAACTCCTGAAGTAGGGTTCAAATTTAACAAAAACCAAACTTGAAAGCAAGAGTTTCCTTAAAAATTATCACTGATAAATTAATTAATCTTAACGTTTGGAGGAGAAATATTTGGAACAAACAGGAGAGAGGAACCTTTGCAGAATAGATTACTCTAGCTTCAGAATAAATACTCATGAAAGAAGCTACCCTTTAAGAGACAGAATACTTAATAATTTTTTGTACCATATAATTTTTTGAACTGTTATTAAAGGAACCCCTTCTGTTTTGAAGAGAGAATCTCCTCTCAGACTGATCCTAGTTGCAGAAAGTACCACTAAGACTGTCTGAGAACTTCTGAATCATACCTTTTTTCCTCAGTTTTCAGATCAAGTAACAAGACTGCTTTCTGCTTGTGGTTTCTGAAAAGACAAGTACCAGGTTCTTAGATCTATTGATCTGGGAAGGTTTGAATTGTATAGTACCTACCTAATTTTTTTTTAGGGAAGATAAAGTAAATTTCCTTAAGTAGATTTAAACTTAATGTTGTCTTGGTCCGGTGCCTGAAACTACATTTAAATACTTTCTTAGAACTTGGAAATACTGCTACACCAGAGAAATTAGACACAACTTGTCAAGTTCATCAAATAATTTCTGATGGTGGTACTAAGCAATTTTTTGTTGTTGTTGCAGTTTGAGTTCCACTTTTTCTCATTTACCTGCCTTGGAATAATTTTTTAATTTGTCATTTCTTATATCTCAGTCACTCAAAATATAATAAAGGGTGCTGTCTTCAGTAATCTTTTTGTGACACATAAAAATAACTGTATTAAATTTTGGCTAATGAAGAGTTCTTGTTTAAAATTACTTAAATATTCAGTTTTTCAAGTACCTTACTGTGAACAGGAGACTACTTTCATTAGCTAATTTAGCCACTAGAATGATTCAGATTGTCCTTACTTTGGTTAGCTCACTATCTATCACACTAAAATTGAGGTTTGCACTTTATAAACTGTATGATTGGTTTGTGACGTGCTGTAAATGTTTTCTGAAGTTGCGAGGAATTTAATTTGTCGAAGCGTTTTGTTCTTTAGGCTTATGTTTGTTTGTTTTCAGGAAATAAAAGTGAATTTGTGTCTCTTTGTGCTTCAGGAGCTTGTTCGAAAAGGGATACCTCATCATTTCAGGGCAATCGTTTGGCAGCTTCTATGCAGTGCTCAAAGTATGCCAATCAAGGACCAGTATTCAGAGCTTTTGAAAATGACGTCTCCTTGTGAGAAGTTAATAAGAAGGGACATTGCTAGAACATACCCTGAACATGATTTTTTTAAAGAAAAAGACAGCCTTGGACAGGAGGTCTTGTTCAATGTAATGAAGGTAAGTCAGCGTTTCAGCCCTTGAAAATACATTAGCAAGAACATGCAAAAAGTTTGGAAAACAATTTGCCTTGTATTTAGTGAGATTTTAAAAAAAAACCTTAAAGTTTGCCTTAAAACAGTCACGTGCTGACTGCGGGTACTGCAGTGGAATAAAGTGTGCCATGAAGTAAAGCAAACAGTGTTGACCAAGAGGAGAAAGCTGTAAATCAGAGCTAGCATTCAGTTGTTGTGTTTCTGAACCTGCGTGCAGTGGCAGCAAGTGGCAGGTACAAGCTCACGTGTTACGGTGCCCAAGCACAAAATGAGAATGCCACCATAAATTTAGACTTGTGTTATTTTGTCTTACTTGTCCTAGAGCTGACATTTGGAAAGACTTTTCCATCCCATATGGTTTCAACAGAGAAGTCGACATATTTCCAAATCATAGTAACTCCCATAATTCTAAAGTAAGGATGTAACATGCATGGAGATCACTGTGTTTCCTCCACCTGTAAATAAAACTGCAGCGTGTAATTTTTTGGAAAAGAACTGTAGTTACTTTGGCCTGTCTCCTATGAAAGTCATGACCTTGTGCAGTTCGTGTGCCAGCTCAGTTACCTTTTGGCAAATTCCTTTAGTTGAACTGCATGCATTTTTTTTAGGTACACCTTAGTTTTAGCTCTGTAGGCTGTCAGGGAGCAGAGTTCACGCCTCTTTGTAGCAGCAGGTAGCAACTGAAGTATCTGCCTAAAACTTCTGAATCGAATGTCTGTCCTCATTGGGTTTGGGAGAGGAAGATTAAGTTATTAGCAAAATAACAGCATGAACTATGATTACGTTTTATTGATAATGAGGTTGTAATTGTTGAGAGTCTTAAAACTTTATTTCCCAGGCTTATTCTTTGGTGGATCGTGAGGTTGGATACTGTCAAGGAAGCGCTTTTATAGTTGGATTACTGCTTATGCAGGTAAACATGATACTAAAAACAGGTGCACTTTTAAAATCCCTGCTAGAATGCATAATATGTCATGGTGCTTTATTGGGAATTTAAAAAATAGTTTTCCTTCGTAATTTTTGTACAATGGAATTGCCAAGGGGAGCCGTTTACTCTGCAAATCAGATGAGATTTCTTCTCTGTGGCTTTGTTTGCCAAGAAGATGCTGTCTTTGAGTGGGAGGTACCTTTACTTTTCAGAGGTAAGGTAGGATCGCAGACTTGCAAGCTATTTTGGTGAATGCTGTTTCAACTATTAATGAACTTGTAATTTCAGTTCTATTAGTCTGAATCTCCTTAAAGTTCAAATGGAACTTCACAATTCTTAAAGCTGCGTTTGTATTACTGCCTTTTATTTTACAACAGTGTAGGGTGTGTTATAAGAAACTTGCAGACCTCCTTTTCTGTTTAGAAATAATTGATAGAATTCACCATGTGCAGTTCATTAGTGATTGGTTATAAATCCCCTAATAACAAACAAAAAACCCACCTCAATACACACAACCCAAAAAGCCCCAAACCCACAAAACAAACAAAAAACCACTTCATGTGCGCACACACGCACAAAATCCCCACTAAACTCTCCCAACATTTACTCTGATAGATTCTTACAGTTGTCCTGACTTTTTACTGTGCTTCTTTTTATTTTTAATATAGATGCCAGAAGAAGAGGCGTTCTGTGTGTTTGTTAAATTAATGCAAGATTACAGACTACGAGAACTCTTTAAGCCAAGCATGGCTGAACTGGGCCTTTGTATGTACCAGTTTGAATGCATGATACAGGTACGTACAAAATCTGTCAAACTTTCTCTTCAATAACTATTAGTAAGGGATTTGGGAATTACAGCTAAGGAGCAGGCCTGTCTGTTGGCCGATAGGCTGTTCTCTTGATGGTAGTTTGATCTTCAGAAGTAAATACGTGTGGCTGTGGTCTGCTTTTTAACCTTTGGCAGACAGTGACTGGCTTTAAACACTGAAGCATGAGGATTTGTATTGCTACAAGTTATACAGCATATGAATGTTGAATTCTGTTTGGATTAGTGAGTTCATAATCAATTTATATCTGTTTTAACAGACGAAAGCTGGGAGATGTAGATACAGGTCTTTTCAGGTGTTTTGCAGCCCACTCTAGATGTGACTTAGGGATTTACAAGCTTGTGACTTGCTTCTAGGATCAGGAAATGTTTTTGTAATCTGTGCTTTGCAGGGTAGAAGTGCTGTAGGATGTTCTATACTGGGACTTCTGTTCTTAATAATAATGAGTAATATCTTTCCTAGTCCTGTGTTATGAAGCTGCTGTCTCTACTAAATACCAATTATTTTCTTTCTATTCAAAATTTGTCAAAAACATGAAAAACAACACTAATGCTACCAGCAGAAGCTTAACACATACTTTTTTTTCCTCCCTCCTCTTTTCCAGGAGCATCTTCCAGAGCTTTATGTGCACTTTCAGTCTCAGAGTTTCCACACTTCTATGTATGCGTCATCATGGTTTTTAACTATATTCCTTACAACTTTTCCACTACCGATTGCAACAAGAATATTTGATATCTTTATGTCTGAGGTAACTACTCGATACTCGTATGTCCTATTTCAAGAGCAGCTGTTAAAAGCAGTTATTTGGGTAGTGGTATAAATTCTACTATAATAGGCAAATCTCAGATAGTCTGGCTTTTTAGTCCTTATGCTTATCAGATAATTTTGTAGTGGAAGATGTCTGTGTATGCAGTTTAAGGAAGAGCAACTAAATCTTTGACCGTAGATACTGTATGCAACTTTGTACTCTAAACCTATTGAAGAGTTACCACACCTTTCAGTTCTGGATGCAACGCTATAGCATTGCATACAGCAGGGACAGCAGTTTCTCAGGATTGCAGTAAGCTTGGGGTGGAAATTAGTGCTGCTTTGAGGCCAAAGTTAAAGCTTCATGGGCACCTGCAGGCCAAGAAGAGCGAGTGTTGGCATCTTGTATTCTTCAGGTGATGCTGAAGAAATTAATGGAATTATTCAGTGTCGCTATCATGAAGATACCCGAGTTGTGTTTAGGGTTAGAGCTTTGTGTGGTTGAAACTGGTAACAAACCACAGTTTATGGTCCACTGAGGCCATTATTAGAAAATAATAAGTCGAAGGTGGATCCTTTCAGCTTACACTCAGGACTGCCCAAGATACTGTCTATGAGTGAGACATTGCCCTGTATCTGTTTAAATAGTTTAATTGCATTGTTCCATCTCTAAAATATATTTTTACAAGTACCTGGGGGTTTTTGTACTTGTATATATTTAAAATGTTTGATAAAGCTGACATATAAAACACTTGTCACTCAAGAAGTTTTACCTCGGCACTGAACTCTGAGGGGGAAGTATACAGGATCTGGCATCAGGATAAATAGCCAGACTACCTGTCCTTGGGACAAAATAAGAAGCCTAGAACCAATTTGTTGAGACATTTTTCAGTAGCCCTTTTGCTTGTTTGAGAAACTGGGTGAGATTTACAACACCAGTAAATAGTAGGATCGTTCTGTCCTGTTGACAATGCCGTGAATAACTGTTGGATGTTTCTTAACTTCTGTTTTCAGGGTTTAGAGATAGTATTTCGAGTAGGTCTAGCAGTCCTTCAGATGAACCAAGCAGAATTACTGCAACTTGACATGGAAGGAATGTTACAGGTAAATTAAGGTTATAATAGTTGTAAGAGATATCTGAAATATGAAATGTGTGTGTATTTCCTTGCAGCTGTTAATTATTTGTAATCTTGTGCTCTGATTGCTTTTAGCACTTTCAAAAGGTCATTCCACATCAGTTTGACAGTGGGCCAGACAAATTAATCCAAGCATCTTACCAAGTCAAATACAATGCAAAAAAGATGAAAAAGTAGGTATAACATTTTTGAGAAAATAGATTATACTGTTGCTAAGAGCTGCTGATTGTTTATCTTTAAAACTAGTTATTCAGTATTTCATTTTGAACTTTCCGGTTTTAATTTTGTTGGTGTTTTATACTGCACACAGTTAAAATTGAAGTTCTGTCTGCAAGAAAATTCTTCTGAAGCAGTGTTTGCTGTTTTTCTTAAGTATAGTAAAGCTTTTTTCGTTTATGAAAATAACCTCAAATGCTTTTGGAGAAAGCTGCAAGTTATGGGGGAGTTACAGCACTTTTGTAGACAGGATCTGAATAGAAAAAGCAGTGGGGTTGGGTAGGGGTTTTTTGGGGGCCACGTGGGTTGTTTGGGGTTTTTTGAGGGTGAAATAGGGAAAGGAGGCTAAACTATGATCTTGCCTCAATTCTTAAGACTTTAGTTCTCAGGAACTGGAGAAGTATTCACAGTGCTAAAGAGTGCACGCACGGTCAAGATTGGGGCTGCGTACAAAGTTTCATCAATTTATACTTGAATATCACTGACAATTGTAAAATAAGTTTCATTTGGGGTTTGCAATACTGAGCATAATACATTTTGGGTTTTTAAGGTTAGTTGCATGTCTTCTCTTTTCTGCCTTTGGTAAATCCTGTGTTGCTAAGCCAAGCTGCACATACTGTGCCTTTCTGGGGTTTAGTTTGGCGATTCTCCAGTTGGTTGTAATGTGTTCGCTGTTCTTGCACTGCAGATTGTGCTAGTGTCTTGCAAGCTGAATTTGCCCATCCTTCTGTCAGCAGCCTCTGATCAACCAATGCTGTAGAGTGAGCAGTCTCCTCTGAAACAAGTAGTAACGAAGCTTGCAGGAAAAACACTTTATCTGAAAGCCACTCTAAGTGTACATAGCTTAAAATCCTACCATTCCAAGTCTAAACTTCCTTCATTGCCTTCTGTAGAGGCAGTGTTTATCTCAGGCTGTTATTTCTTGTTGCCACCTTTTTCATTTGGGACAATTTTGTGGTTTGCTCAAGAGGGGCAAAGTTGTTTTATACATTTAAGACATTTGTTTCAAATATCTTTGCATCTTTTTGTCTTCCAGGCTTTTCAAGCTTGGTTTTCTTTTGGCTGAATCTATTGAATTGCATATTGTATAATTACATCGAGTGGTTATTACAGAGCAGCTCCAAGTCATTGCCACTGTAAATATACAAGCAAGCATCTGCACTTCAGAGTGCTGGTTCAGAGTCTGTTTATGTCTACAGAAGCCTTCGTGTTTAAATTTAATGTCCAATCTAAATATTTACAGCAGTGCATTTAAAAGTGGCTACTTAAGCAGAGGAAATATCAATAACCTGTCTCTCTGTTCTACTGTTTGTTAGGTATCACACCAACAAGTTATCTGCAATTTTTCTAATCGTAATTTACTGTTTCTAATTTTTAGGTTAGAAAAGGAATACACTACAATAAAGACAAAAGAAATGGAAGAACAAGTTGAAATTAAAGTAAGAGAGAGCCCAAATAAATTTATTTATGGATCTGTTTTATTCCTAGATGTGTGGTTACATATTTGATCTGTACCTGTAGCAGGACATGTAATTGAGGCCCACAGATTCTTTCAGCATTTGTATTTGGGATGTCTGTTCATAAGGGACACTTACAGCGAAATTACTGGGACTTCTGGTGCAATTTATAGAAAAATCTTTGATGGAGACCTGCTGTACTTAGCTTTCATTATTTTCTGCTGACTAAAGCCTCATTTATCAGAGGTTTTGGATATGCTGCTTTAGATATAAGTGTCCCAGACAGGAGGTTTGTAAGACGCATGCTAAGACAGAGTTTATCAGAATGCACTTGGGTGGTTTGTTTATTTTGAGATCCCTGGTCATTGGACCCAAGACTCAGTGTGTTCTGTCTGCAGTGATTGTTTCTTTTGGAGCTTCTGCAATTGATACATAATGTGGGAAACAACCCACCCTGTGAGTGCAGTTTGTTTCCCTTTCACTACCTGACCTACTTACTGTATGTACTTAATCGCCACATCGTTTGCTTTTGTGATATAAATAGGCTTCTGCTCCTTTTTTTTTTCCACAGCATGGTGTTTGATCTGGATTTGCTTCCTTGCCTTGTTTTCAGCCAGTTCCATGAGAAAAGGCAGTGAGAGAAATGATGGGCAAGTGTACTATATAAAGCTTAGTAGAGGGAGTGAGGTACAGCCTTCCTTCTTCCTGTCTATTGCTGGTCATTTTGCCTTTCAGTATCAGTTTTGAAGACATTGGTTCTTCTGAAAAATTCAGCGGCGTGCACCTGGGAGCACAGAAGTGTTGCGAGCTTTTTCAGACAATTTGTTATTGTAACAGGCAGCGAGGCAGTTAGCAGCATTAGGACCTGCTGTAATGGCATCTGACACCAGATGATGTGCAGGAATCAGGTGACAGCTCTCTGCAGAACAGAACAAAATAACTTGTAACACAACTGTAACTTTGGATTTTAGTATTTGAACTTATTTCAAATCCTTTGCTGTTCTTCCCCTCTCACTTCCCAAAAGAAAACCCAAACCAACCAAAAACCCCAACCCAGCAACCCAAAGCTGTCCATTTCTAGGCCCTGCTTTGAGACTTTATCTAAACCATTTCTGACATACTCTCTTCTGCTAAAAAGCTCTACTATTTTAGGGAGATGGAAAAACAAGCTCATGTAGTCTGTCTCTCAGCCTGGCAGAATAAAGCATTTTGGAACTGATATCCATGGCTGTATTTTTAGGGGTACAGATCTCTTCTCGTTGAATGCTGACTGCTAAAATTTACAGGAGATGCACTGGTAAAATATGCAATTCAGTATAATTCTTTCTCACTTCTGGGGCATGTGAAGTAAATAATTCTCAGTATACCCTCACAGGTTAAATAAATATTATATAATTTACCATCACTTATTGGGAGGAAAAGGAAGGAAACGTAGCTATCTCATTAGCCTGTCCTAGTGCAGGGCACTTTTGTGTCCCTTAACCATGACAGCCGTGTCCACCTCTGTATATGAAGAGGTGGCTGTCATGTCTAATGTGTGATTAAGCCCTGTGCTTCACTTGCAGTGCTTGACTTGCACTGTCATCCAGTGCAACAGATGCTTTTGTATAACACAAGACTTCTCATCTTTGCTGTACCAAGCTGTTTAAATTAATCTTTTGAGTTAAGATGTGAAAAAGGTCGCTAATTATTTTTGTATTGATTTTCATAGATGTGATAAATTGTTGTTAGCTTGCTTGGCTTTTATCAGACTTCCAGTTCATAACTTGAGAAATACAATTCTGAACTGTTTACCTTCCAGAGGTTGCGAACTGAAAACAGGCTCCTAAAACAGCGCATTGAAACACTAGAAAAAGTAAGTATGTTGGTAATTGGATTTAATCTCTGTTAATTTATACTTAAATTGATGGCAATTTTATTATATGAAATGGGAATCTCAGAATTACAGCTTAATGGTTTTTTTTCTTGCTCATCTATGGTGTTTATGAACAGTCCTTGGCACTGTAGTGTGCCAATAACAAAGCAGTTGGGGTCAGTGCTTGAAAATGTCTAAGGTTGTTATGTCTGGCTCTTCATGACTATGAAATCAAGCATTTTGATGTACCCAACTCTTGTACTGTTTTCTTTCCGAATTAGAAGCATCTGGTCAAAGTTCAGAAGACCACGTGAAATAGTGGAAAAGAGGTTATTGGGAGAGAATCCTCAATTTTGAAAGCCTGAAGTTGCTGGGTGTTCTTATGTAGGAGTAAAGTGAGTGACCTACCAGTGACCAGAGAGAGATGGAGATGAAGGCAGATTACCGCATCACTAGCGAATGCAGCAGTAGAGGGGTGGTGGTGCAGAATTCACATTCAGAACAGGAATCTGCTGCCATTACTTCATTTTATGTAGTTCTGAATTTCTGTAGCAATTTTGGGTACGTGGTGGGGGGAGAATACCTCCAGATACAGTCTGGAATAGAGTGCTGTTAAGCTTCTTTGTAACTGGAAATACCTTACAGTATGCATGGTAACTGTTGTCGATGCATTGCCGATGCACAGATGTTTTCCTGTGGCCTCTGCTATATTCTGGTATCGCGGTTGCTGTGACAGATTGCACCTGAGCTGGGCTGTGCTAGAACGAGAACATTCGTATCCATCTGAACCACGAGTAGCAACTGTCTTACAGCAAACGAAACGTTTCACAGGAAAAAAATGGTCGAGATTTGGTTTAGTGACGTAATTGAAAGATGTCACGCTTGAGATGTTAAATCCATTACTGCTACCTGAAAAACCAGTCAATCTATGTCAAATTCTAATTGATTTGTGAATTTAGTTTGGAAAAATAGACATAATGAGGAAGTATTGTGAAAGTTGTGGCCAAAATTAAAATTTTATAAACAGCTTTGTTTCTAATATTGATAAAATTAACTGAAAATAAGAGACTTTAAGAAGTTTGAAGCTGTAGTGAATCACTTCAGTGCTCTTGGCAAGGTTATAATATTAAATATCCCTGTTTTATACTTAACTTGCAGAGGTTTGAAATGTTGGGGTTTTTTAACTAGGAAGTCCATGATGAAATGCCAGATGCCGGTGCTTTTGCAAATTCTGTATTTAAAATTTCAGAACTCACTTTGAGTGTCCCATTCTGGAGTTCGAACACTTCAAAACGGGAAGGTAGTATCTTTTAATAAGAATTTCTGAAGATCGTTATAAACGCAGCATCTAAAAACAGATCATAAAGTGTGAACAAATAAGGTTCTTCTGTTGCAAACTTATTTTTATTTTAAAACCTCATCTTCTTAACCTATGATTTAGTTGTGATTTCCTTAATGTGTACCTTAATGACAACCAACTTCTAAGCAATAGCTCTTGTCAACTAGTTTGACCTCGTATAAAAACTAAAGTTCCAATGACAACATCTATGAATAGATGCGTTCTCTGTTGTAGTATCTGTAAAAATTGAGTGCTTTCAAAAGTGATAGAGTAGAAATTAATTAAATGTGAAACCTGGAGGAGAATGTAGCGCTTGTCAGTGTGCATAAATGCAAATGTGATTCTTGCAGGACTTTGGCAAGGAAATAGAATCTATGAACTGCTGAACTGAGTTACTGCAAGAGCTCAGTAAAACAAAACATTAGCTGTCGTAGATGAAATTTTCTACTTGTCAGGTTGGACCATTTAACTTTTCTGCTTCATCTTTTTGGAAGCTTTGGTTCTGCATGAATGCCTCGGTGCTTAGTGGAGTTTCCTTGGTGCTCAAATGATGCCTTCCTTTCATGTTGTGGACAGACCATAGACCACGTCTTGCACCCACCTACTAGATCATATCAGATAATGTATCATAACACTTGTTAATTAGGGAAGCAAGCCATTCAGACAAAAATACCCAGTCTCCTGTAGGTTAATTTGAAGTGTTACAGAAATCTGACTTTGAGACCTTGTATCACAGATGGGCTGTGTTAAATCTCTTGCAGAAAGGCTGCTTCCTGGGACTTTCAGGCTGCATTGCCTTGACTTACATGAAGAGCTGTTAATTTTGCAAAAAGAGTTTATACAGAAAATGGGTAGAATTTGGGCATTTCCTTTCTCTCAGCTCTTGTCTCTTTTGTCACTATTTTGTCACCCTTTTGTTTTTTGGTTCTTCTTTTTCTTATTCCTATCTGAATTTTTCCTTTATAGGAAAGTGCTTCCTTGGCAGATAGATTGATACAGGTATAGTCTTTCAGTCTTTTACTGTATGACTCTTCCTGCTCTCAAAAACCCCTCAAACTGCTTTAATGCATGCATATTTGCATGCTGTACTCTATCCTTGCCTTGCTGATTTGGAATAATATAGAGCTAATTTCTTGCTAGAAACTTGTTTAATTTTGTTTACTAAAAAGATATAAACCCACTACCTGCACGTTATAATACTTCTCCTAACCTAACGTAACTTTTTGGTACAAATTCCTATGACAAATGGATTCTGTGACACTGTATTAACACCGAAATGGAATATTGTGGAATATTAAATCTGTGCATGTACAGCTGAGTAATACTGCATGAAGGGAATTTTATTGGATGCAAGTACGCAATTGTGCTTGCTAAATGGTTGCTGAACTCCGTAATAAAGTACTAAAGTGGCTGTTTAGTACTACCTTGTCCTAAAACTTCTACCAATTGTACTCTGTGCTGTTTGCAAAACCAATCTGATGAAATAAGCATCACAAAGGCAGTCTGTCTTGGATTTGTCCTCAATTGCTTAAAAAAAATAAATTATGTCCTAAGGGACAAGTGACAAGGGCCCAGGAGGCTGAGGAAAACTACCTCATAAAACGGGAGCTGGCCACCATCAAACAGCAGAGTGATGAGGCCAATACTAAACTGGAGCAAGCTGAGAATACCATCAGGGAGCTCCAGCAGCAGCAGCAATGGGTAAGGAGCCGGGCAGCACATCACCTCATCTTTCACTCACGTGTGTTTATTTTTCCTCATCATGACATAGTCTCTGTGCTGTCCTTGTAAATGCTTGTTCATTGTGATTTGCATCCTTAAAATTACACAAATTGGGCTATGTGATATTTTGGTCTGTTCTTATTGATAGATGAGATTCATAACCGTGGATACATGTATGCTGTTAGTTAAAAAAACGAGAAGCAAAAAACCCACAAACCCCCCCCCCCAAAAAACACCACAACAAAACTAAGCCAAAAACCCAACAACAACCCTACCCAAAATCCTACCACCACCAAAGGCATACTAGCAAAAAACACACACAACTTCTGCTAGCTCCTAATGCTAAGAATCCAGTCATTGCAAATTGTCACTCGGAATACTCAAGTTTGGGAGTTGATTTGTAATGCCTTTACCTGGCTTCTCATCTAAGTTAGTCTCTTCCATGTTAATGTTTCTTCTGTGTACCTGTTTGGTTGTTTTTTTTTCTAGCATGCTTAAACTTGCTGCTTGCAAAAATAGAAGGGTCTTGTCCCAGAGTTTGGAACTCGAGGACTTCACTAAAAGGTGTGGGTTTATGTGCAGATAGAGCAGGAAAGATAACTGTATGTAGTACTGTGTGTGTTTGTCCTATATGTTTTCAGTATTGTAATGTACAAGACCTCAGACCACTTACTGTGAGACTGAAATTGCTTTCTCTAAGCTTACAAAGTGTCCAGTATCTTATCCTGAGAGAGGGAGGGAAGCAGTTTCAGCAGTCTTCACTTGCCAAATAGACTGTGCGCTAGCAGTGTTGATGTGAATATGCTCCGAGTGTTTTAAGTAAGTGATATCCAAGTTACTTGTCTGAAGCCCTGGCTGTTTCAGGTGTATGGAATACAAGTATTTCTAGTATTTTGGTGGAATATGGATAAAACAAACTTAAGTTGCCTGTAACGGACCTGGTAAGCAGCTGCACTATGCTGTAGTTCTAAAAAGTTGCACTTCAGCTTGGAAGGTGGAGATGAGATTTACTGTTAGACTGAAAAGAAATCATAACTTAAATGCAACATTATAGAAATGGTTTATTATGTCTGTTTAATGCATGTCAGTGTAAGAAAAAGTATCTCTTAGAATAGCTGCAAGGAGTTCTTAATGAGCTGTTACTCTGCAATGTGTAATGCTGCTTTTTATTTAACTTCAGCAGTTTCTTTAGAAAAAAAGCCATGAAGAAATGATTAGGAATGTGGGGGTGTTCTAGCAATGCTTTCCAAAATTTTAGATACGTTGTAATCTTTCAAGTGGAATAAACTGAGAAATGTTCATAGACTAGGGTAGCCAGCTGTTTACTGTCTGGTTACAACAGTACACATGCTTTTGGCATCTGTTTTTGGAGGAATGCATGTTACCTACATGGAATTAAAAGTTACTAAAAGACACTAAAATGCTGTGTTTATCTACCAGTTAATTGATGGGTAATAGGACTTCTAAAGTTAATGCTTTATGGTTTTTTTATGGTGATGAGGGGAGACCTCATCACCACCTACAACTGCCTCAAGGGAGGTTGTAGAGAGGTGGGTGCTGGTCTCTTCTCCCAGGTGATGGGGGATAGAACAAGGGGAAACGGCACCAAGCTGTGCCAAGGGAGGTTCAGGTTAGAGATAAGGAGGAAGTTCTTGACTGAGAGGGTCGTCAGAAGCTGGAACAGGCTGCCCAGGGAGGTGGTGGAGTCACCATCCCTGGATGTGTTTAAAGAGCGGGTAGATGAGGTACTTAAGGATATGGTTTAGGGGGTAGACAGGAACGGTTGGACGTGATGATCTCAGAGGGCTTTTCCAACCGAGCGATTCTGTGATTCTGCTTTTAATTATGCTGGGGACCTTAAGTAGCAATGATGGGGAAGCCTGGCAGGTTGGCTGGGCATAGGAACTGGTCCTGAGCAAAACGACAGATACCTGTGAGTTGCACTATTGGCTGGATGGGAGCTGTGAGGGCAGAAGATGGGGCAGGTACTGCAGGAGTGGAAAGTAAGTGAAATGTAAGAATGGGCAGTTACAGACAACCGCCCCTCCTGTCCTGCGTGCTTGCAGCTTTGTTTTCCACCACTTGAATATAAAAATTACTATAGGAAATAATCTTGACTATGCTTGGAACTGGGGCTTGGAACTGACCCATGTGGTTACATTTGTGCCTAGTAGCTGACTAATTTGGCAGTGTAAGGAATAGTAGCGTGGTTCTGAGGATGGTTTGAATTAACTTAGACAACGTGGTGAAAGTGTTAAGGTGGCTTTAATTAGTAGCTCCCTAGATTCTGCTGCATTAGTAAGATTTGTAATTGGAAAGGCTTTGTTTCCAAGTGTGGAAATAGCAATGAATGTAAAGGGCTGCGTGCACTCGGGGCACCACCTAGTGGAAATCCATGAATTTCTGTTGAATTTTGGCATTGCACTTTTAAGTACACCAATAAATCTCTTTGCCACTTCCTAATGCAAGTAGCTTTGCTCTTGGCAATACTCATCTTCCCCGTTGTCTTATGAATGTTTGTTTTAATTTTTTCATTCTCCAGTGATTTCAGTGTTGTTTGATTAGCAAAAATGGCTGTGTAGCTTATCTGTACCTATTTGTACAGCATCTATCCTACATATTTTATAATCTATGTATTTTCCAGTCTTGAGCTAGCTGTTTCAGCCTGGTAGAAACTGAAATTTGGGTATGAATTTTTGAATAGGAACGTGTGAATAGAACTGCCTAAGAACCGCTGATGATGCTTCTGAACAGCACTATGGGATTGAAAAGAAAAGAAAACAAACCCCACTGACTTATAAATCGTGAGGCAGGAGACATAACAGTAGGGATTTTGTTTTGTTGGTAGCAAAAATATTACCTAAACCTTAGTATTTATAAGAAAGCAACATATCCTTTGTAAAAAGGTTATGCATTTATATTTAAATACTATCTAGGCTTTATTCTATCTTTTCTATATGATTTGATAGCACAAGTTGGATAGCTTAAAGGTAAGTATTGAAAGTGTATGAAGAAATTCTCTGTTGCAGCGCTTCTTTGTAAGGCTGAATGCAGAGATGGATAGGGGAGTATTCCTTTGATTGAAGTCCAACACCAGAAGTCCAAATTACATGCAAGTTTAATTTTTCCTGTGCTGAAGTATTTATAGGGAGTTTCTGCTTGAACCAGAGTGACTTTATAATAAAGTGTGAAGTCAACTTGGAGAGGTGGTTCTTACCGTTGCTTCTTACTGAAGGCAAGTTCTGATATTGTACTGCTCCCAGACTACCTGAAAATAGTACTAATGATCATATAGTAAATCACATACTAAGTGCCATCAAAAGTATTCTACATATTTCTGAATATATTTAAGGTAATTTGGAAGGGGTAAAAGAAGTAGAAAAGGACGAGGTTTGAGATGGAGACTTCACACTTAATTTTACTTGGCATGCGAACTCTTACATCTTAGAGAGCAACTCTGTCACTGTGGTTTCTAACAAGTGTATAACCAGTACGGGGTTTTTTTAATATTGATAACTAGGAAAAAATAATTGTAAAAGCCAACAGTATTCTGAAGTGCTCTTGGAGTTCAGTGCTTCAGCTACCTAAACATTTACCTAAATGGTTTTGAAGAGAATGGTCCTTATCTCTTTGGCCTGTCTAATCTAAGCCAAAGCCTTCTACATGTGGTAGGGAACCAAAAGATTAAGGTGGTTTCCAAAAGGAAGGTGGTTTCTTCCTCATACTGCTGGTAAATCAAGAACTGCATAGAGGAAGTTGTGCCTGACTTCAGCAGAACACAGGTTTTCTTCTGAGGCATGCTAAGAGTGATGGCATTGAGGAGTTAGGGCTGAGGGTCATCAGCCTGTTCTAACCCACTCCTGATAATTAGGTGCTGGAGGGTTATCTTACCCCCCTTGGTTCTTTTTATTCTCTTGCTTCTAAATGAAAAAGGTAGCTCCTGCTGGATGTATAGAAATGAATAATCTTGCTATTTCTGGCAGTTAAATACCCCTCCAGAACACAAATCTGAGCCTTTCCCAGTGATACTAATTTTCAGTGATTACCCAGTTCATCAGTCTGAATGCTTGAAAACTGAATCTGAGGAATGAGATGCAGTTCAAGCTAAAAGAAGGCTCTTCATGTGTGTTATGTGAAGGCAGAATTTTAATTGACTAAGCATTCAGATGGAAAAAGATGCATTTTGCAAGGTAATTTATAGCCATGTATTTAGTTACTGTTACAGCAACTCCATAATGCATAGTTTCTTTTCAGGAACTCATGCTAAAATGACTGATAGTAATTAAGAGCATAATAATTTATGTAATAGGTAAGGAAATACATGCTTGTTAATGAGTGTTGCAACTTTATGGAGGGCTTCCCTATATTTTACAACATACTTTTTAAAAATTATGTTCTGATTTGCAGCCAAAAAGCAGAAAATAAAATACTGTACTCAGTAAAATACTGCAGTTAGGGTTTAAATGTGTGAACAAAATCAGCTGGGCAGCTGCTGAACAATCTGTTAGTTGCCCTTCAGTAGAGAGGACTGGAAAAGCATTCTGTAATTACATGTATTGGCCCAAATAGTATTAGGAATGGTTGTGTCAGTCTTGGAGATTTTAAGAAGTTGGGGAAAAATAAATTCAGTTGTGTAAAGCCAAGCGAGGACTTGTTTCTTGGAGAAGTAAATGGCTGTAGAACTCCATTTAGGTGCTGTATATTGCTGATGTCTATTCAACACAGCCACGAAAAACCTTGTTACTGTGTTTAAAACGTTTGGCTGGTGCCTGGAAATCTGGGTTCACGTTGGTTTTTGTCACAAATTCTCGGGCTTAAGGCAAATGCAGATTTTATTTTTGCTAAAATCAGTCTTCAGAATAGTTTTCAAACACTTTGAACATAAACTTGTTAACTATATACACTGAATTACTTAATTGTGTGGTGTTTAAGGAGCAAAAAATCACAGCTTTGAACACGTGGACATTGGTTTTTTTTTTTAATCTGTTGTGATCTTGGCTGTATTTTTTTTGCCAGTCTATCAGGAGTCGATTTGAAGTTTGTTGTTGCTAAATAGATAAGTACTCCTAACCTATTCCTTAAGCAAGCAAAATGTAAAGACAGATTTAGAGCAGGCATGCCTTGTGCCTGAAACTAAATGAGTGACTTCTCTGACACTCTCCATTACTTACTATTTGGCAAGTATCAGTTAGATTTTTGTAGTCCAAAACCATTCAGAGTACACTCGCGTATTGTTGCAAATCCAGGATGTGTGCAGCTCTTCAAATCTGCTGCTTTCTCTGAATTTTCTGGTAAGGACAAGAGGACTTCTTGCCTGAGGAAAGCACGCTGCGTTTGTTCTCGTTCCATATGTATCAAGTCTGGAACAGGAAACGTGCACTCTATTTAAGTTGCTGTGGGTATCATCTTATGAACGTGTACAAACAGGCAGGGAATAAGAAAGAGCTGTTGCCTGTTCTCGGTGTCTGCACGTTGACAATGCTACTTGTGCTCCCATATCATGTGAAGCAATTGTAGAAATGCATCAGCATTGTCTACCCATCCTCTCCTTACGCTCAAATCAGGACTGCCTCCACTTATGAGGCAAAGACACTGTGGGTTGAAAATAATATGAATTAAATTAGCGTTGTATAAGGGTGAATTAATATTAAATATACAGTGACTTTTGTGCATTAACCGTTCCATGTGTGTTCAACTGTACAGTTAAGTAGGATGAGCACTTAAATAGTCTCAGTAACACTGAGACCGCTTGCATGAGCTGTATTTGCCTTCTAATGCTTTGTGTATATCCCCTCGTTGTAGCTTCCTGTAGACATATATAGAAAGAAATACAATAAATTGTAACACTAAGGTTAGTGTAGATTTTGAATTGGATTGCACTGTAAGTCATGATGGAAGGCATAGTTGGCAGGCAGAAGTATAAAAGAATTAAAAACCATTTCCTTGAACATGTAGTGACATGTTGTAAATCCTTGCTTTGTCCTGTTTGCCTTCGGTTTGTGCATTAAAGGTCAGAGAACGTCGTACCCTAGCAGAATCATATGGGACTGAAGCCTTTTCTGTTAATTTTGTCAACTGTTTTTAGATTAGAAATCTAAATTTTTTCATGCAAACATAAAGTAATAAATAGCTGTGTCTTTAGTATAATGAATAATTATGCATTTTAAAGTCGCATTGTTAATTGAATAAAACTTAACCTATGAATCCAGGTATAGTGTTTGTTCTTCACAATGTAGGTAATGGCACCAAAGAGGTATTAAATGATTTCCTTTTAAACTTAATTTTCAGGGTAGCTATGCATACACAGTAACTAGGCAACTATGCTTTTGCATTTCAACAGGCATTTCTGTTTTTCCTAAACCAGCAACTTAAATGCTGATTTAGGATGGCATCACCTGTCAAGCCGGGCTGACAATCCATGGTGAAGTCATTTTAAAGTGACCCAAAATGGAAATAACTTTTTCGTTCAGTCAGTAGTTACAGGATGCACTTTAAGTGGGCTTTTGAATCCAAGTACTTAGTATGGCTTCAGTTGCATGTGTCTGCTGAAAGATGCAGTTTCATTAAATTGTACTTTAGAAAGTGAAAGGATCGGTCTTGCTTTTAATTCCAGCTAACCACCGGTCAGGAGGTAAATTAATGGTGGATTAACTTACTTGAGCAGAACTGTGGATTTCTTCCCTTTCCCCCAAAGTTTGGGAAGAGTGGCCTTCAGGTCTGAACTGCTGTTTTATTACTGAAGGAGTGTTTGGGTGTGCAGAGCTGCGTGGGGATAGTTTTGGGGAAAGGCCCGTATGGACATAACTGAATTTCTTTGTAGCATGGGCCCATGCTGCCTGTCTAGAAGAGGCTGCACTGCTATTTGTGGCTGGATTTCTCTCATAAATCCACAAGGCTTGCCCTAGAAGAGAATCTCAGAAGAAATGTACAGTGTGAGCAAACGAGAGCTAAGGGTTGGACTACAAGAAAGGGGCTAACCAAAGTGAATGTGAATTGAAGCATATATGGCTTTATTTCAAATCCAAGACTGTGTAAGACTTCTGTTGAACCAGAGTTTGAGTAGGGACCGAGACAGAAATTTGTGTTCACCTTGTAATTAGTTTCTTTCCTAAGCATCTTTTTCTGCATATCAAAATATAATCATAGATCCTTTAAGAATTTCTCAGTTTGGGTAACAGAGAAGTGAGTTGTTGCTCATCAGTAGTAATAGGGGTCTCACTTTAGTCTGACACATCTGGCTGTGTGGAGGTGCCGTTGTTTGAGAGGCATAGCATTAGAGTTCTTGCTGTTAGCAGTCTACGTGGACATGCTAGCAGACTTGCAGAGGGTAAGCACTTCTGTTGATCTTAAGCTAGTGTTCCTAACGTTAAGCATTTGAATGTACTTTTCACTCCAAATCTGGACTATAAACCCCCTTTCAAACCATTTGTGCTTCATACTAAACATATTTCTACAAACTTTGTAGCATAAATGCAGTTCACGATACAGTGAAGACTTTGTGCTACAGCTGGAAAAAGAGCTGGTCCAAGCCAGGCTGAGTGAAGCAGAATCCCATTGTGCCCTGAAGGAGATGCAAGATAAAGTTCTAGAGATGGAAAAGGTAAATCAAACCAGGACCCTCTGTATAAAATAGCACTAGAAACAGAATACAGGTCTCTAACTTTTTGCTATAACTGTACTCTAGATTCTTCTTTTCTGTGTTTTCGTGATTGCAAGATGCTTTTCAAACCTGAAGTTTTCTTTTCTCCTGTTCCTGAAGCCCACTGCAGTGGAAAACTTGGATTCTGGTGGAGACTTTACAGTAAACATTGACTGTTTCAAAATTATATCCTGCAACAAGAGCAGTAGGCTTAGGGTGTGTGTGGAGGTGATGTGAAACTAAATAGTTGGAGAGGGGAGGAGGGAAGATGAACAACGTTACCAATCCCAGGTCTTGAGTGTCTCCCACTTCATCCCATTATGGGCACAGAAAGAATACCTCCAGTGGTTAGTAACAAAATCTCCACTGCTTTTGGGTGCCATCCCAGCTGGTAACTTACTGATGATAGAGTTCGAGCTGAACTCAAACTGTCAAACATTTACCTTTCTATGAAGAAAGACTGAACTGCAAAATAAAATAGAAATAAAAGAAAGGAAAAGAAACCCCGCTAATTGACCTAATATACAGCAAGCTCTTCAGATTGTGTTGTATTGGCTTTGGAAATTTTCTTCATGGAGATTTTAAAGAGCTATATGCTGAGGAATGTGTACTAGGTAATCAGATTAACCCCCTGGAGTCAAGATTTTACTGTTTTAATTATCTGAAGGGCTTGATGGGAGTCTGACAGGCCAGTAGTGTGGTAGTTCTTACTGTACTGAACGTTGGTACCAATTCAGGATCTGAAGCATTTTTCAAAGTTCAGAAGGCAACTACTTCTTTCCTTAACCTTCATCAGCATGAAGATAACATACACTGAAAACTTAAATGTGAAGAAAAACTGGAGCAGTGGGGGAAATGCCAGTGTACCAGACAAACTGACGTACCGGTTGTATTTCAGTGTGTCGTAATGAACTTGGGCACAGAAGAAAGTGGCTGAAGTCAACTCCCTCAAATTCCTATAAATACAGCTCCTGGCTGCTGGAGATGCCATGTAATTTGGGAAAGTTCTGCTCAATAGCCTGAGGCTTGCCTGGCTCCACTGACAGAGGTGTAAACACTCAGAATCACACCCTGTCACTTCCTGTATTAGCCAGTACTCGGATCCCATGATTTTGAAGCCAAGGAGATGCTAAAAAATGGCTGTTGTGCCATGCTCTGTTAATCATGCACTTTACTCTCAAGAACATCTGGCAGCTGTCACAGTATTACGTATCTACAAACACACTTTGTTTTGCTGAAAATTGCTACTGAGAAATACAGTAAAAAGTGATGAAGCACAGGTCAACTTTGAGTATTTGTTGACCAGTAATTTGATGTAGGGATATTGTAGAGACTATGTACTTAAAAGGCAGACTATGCCCTTTTTCTTCCCATCTGTTTCTTCCCAGACTTCATTCTTGTGTTTTCATCACTCTTATTTTCCTCAGGTCACTCCTGCCATGTGTGTTCCTGTTTTCTGTTTAGCTGTCTTTTGTCTTTCTACTTTTTCCTCATGTTTTTGTGAACATTCATGCACTTTCATCTGTAAAACATTTTCGTGAATGGTTGTTGTTTATCAATATTAATGAATGTCAACATCTATTTTCTCCTTTTCAAACGCAGATGACCTACTTCCAAAAAAATAAATTTCCTTTTATTGCTTTTCTTGTGAGTCTAAATAAAAGTTAAATATCTAAAGGCATAATTTCAGTTCCTTATTTGCTTTTTTAAAACAAATCAACTAGTTCAAAATATTTGAGATTTCTCTCCGTGTTTTTGATGATGTGTGCAAAACAGTGTGAATAATGTTTTGTTAGGGATACCCTCTGGGGAAATCTGGAGTTCAGAATACCCAAAACTACCTTGTCAATTTTTTCCTGTAGTTGGCAGTTGGAAGGTCCTTACGTACACTCGCTATATCCAGGAACTTAGGTATTTGAGGGGTTTTATTTTGCAAAGGCTGTATAATTAATAAAGTTTGGTTAGTAGTAAGAATTATCATTCCATGTCTATAATCTTTGAGTGGATCTCCCTAAGCACAACTTTATTCAAATATGTATTTAAGTGGATGGTCCTTGTTGCAGAGGAACAGCTCTCTCCCCGATGAGGAAAATGTTGCTAGGCTGCAAGAAGAACTGATTGCAGTAAAATTAAGAGAAGCAGAAGCTCTGATGGGTCTCAAAGAACTGAGGCAGCAAGTCAAAGACTTGGAGGAACACTGGCAGGTATGGACAGCAATACACTTATAATGGTTTTTATTTTTGATGAATTATGATAAAGCAAAAGACTATGAAATTTTGAGATGTAGATATCAAGTAGAATCTGGTGATTGTGGATCAAGCTGCTGAGGTGAGAGAACTTTTACATGCAGCTGCCACAAGAAACTTTACTTCAAAAGTATGTTAGAAATTGGTCCCTGGTTATAGATGGCAGAGAGCCTGTGCTGTGAGCTAACTGTTCTGTACCTCATCAGTATTCCTACTTTACTAAATATGATTAATAAGGGCTAGAAATAGGCAAAAGTCTCAGGGTATACTTGCAATTCACTGATTTGCTCTCGTTGGGAATGACTGTCTTCAGCTTTTTAATTGTCTGTTCTTAAAACTATTAAGTTTCCGTGGGTTTTTAGTTCTTAAGACAAACAGGAGCACTATAGCAGCTTGTCCTTTATATATAACTCTGAGCCCTGAAATGAAATAAGGGAACACCAGGAAAGATCAGGCATGATCAGCAATGGCATGCTGTTTTCTAGCGTCATCTAGCTCGTACCACTGGAAGATGGAAAGATCCTCCCAGAAAAAACACAGTGAACGAGCTACAGGATGAGCTGATGTCGGTCCGATTGCGAGAGGCAGAAACTCAGGCGGAGCTGAAGGAGACCAAACAAAGAATGATGGAGATGGAAACACAGGTAAGTTACCGAGCACCAGCACGTGAGTTGAGCTGAACGCTGGCAAATCAGTGTCAAATGCTTTTACACTGACTTTTACCATCTACAGGCATGAGTTTAGTTCCAAAATGCACTTTTTTAGTGCTGCTAGACTAGGAGGGAGAGTCTAGTGCATACAGCCCAATGTACTGAAGTGTTTCCTCTTTAGCCTTTTCCAGGACTGAGCTTTTTGAATTTCTCATTTGAAATAAGTGGTAGACTCTGTGTGTGAATCTTAATGAATTCAATTGTAGCTGGTGTAACAACAAAAATACGTTTAAAGAGTTTTAAACTTCACGAACCTAACTGATGATTCTGATAATAGTAATTCTAGTTCTTTAAATGGTAGCGTTTTCTTTCTTCTGGTGAAATTGCCTGCACTAGATTATCCGAGGTCATGAATTTGGTTACTGAACTGTGGATTCTCAGCAAAATAGCTGCAAGTTGTCAGGGAGCTTTAGGAGAAGCTTTACTTTTCCCATACCAGAAATGAAAAGTAAGATTCACCACTGCTGAGATTTGGGCAGAAAAAACCAAAAATAACTTGTCTGCCAAGATCTCTTTTTGTGTAACTAGGGAATAAGTTGTTTAAGCAAACAAATCTGAAATGAAAGTGCACTGAAGTTGGTTATTTCATACTATATTAGTGAACTTTCAACTGAATTAATAAGTGTTGTTGATGAAGAAGGATTTGTAACGCACATGGTGGCTTCTTTCTGACAGAAGCACCACTTTTTCTCTACCAACTGAATAAAAGTTTCCTCTTGCCTCAACTTTTAACGTTTTCATTGAAGTGTTGATACAGTTTCACTACAGTTAACGTGTGCTCTGGTTTTGTGTTTTCCCCATCTGTGTATTTGTTTTAGTCAGTAGGGGGCATAGGTATCCTGCTGACTGTATTACATGTCTTAGTCACAAGATCTTTAGGTACTTCTCACTTCAGTGTTACCCATTGAGTCTTTGTGTAACCTTATGCGGCTTAACTATAATTTGACAGAAATGCATTGGTTCTCGTTATGTACTGGTCTGTGCACAGCTTCATAGAAAAACAGTGGGACTTGTACTAATGCACTGATCTTAATGAAGGTGCCATGTTACTTTCAGGAAGGCACTGGACAGAGAAATACGCACATAATATTTCTGACGTACTTGATACTTCATGGATGCATCAGCTTCTTGCTGTAGTTGGGATACGAGGTCACAAAATCTTTGCTTTACCTTAGCAAGAGATTGAGAAAAACACACGTACAGGAGCTTTGCAGTAATGCTCTTACAATAAGTCATGTGGTGTTTAAGAACAATTTAAATATCCTGGTCATAAACTAAATGTCATGCACACTGTTTTTATTACCCTTAGAAAATTGTGAATGCTTTTTCATCAAAAGTTTTCTACAGTAAATGATCTGTAAGCCTTTCTTGTCAGACTTCGGGAGTTAAATTATTAACAAAGATCTCTCCTTAACATGTATTTTCTTTCCTTTTTTTTTTTCCTAAATTTCAGAATCAGATCAATAGTAACCATTTACGAAGGGCAGAGCAAGAAGTTTCCAACCTACAGGGGAAGGTACAGTATCTTTCTGCACAGAACAAAGGACTTCTTGCTCAGCTGAACGAAGCAAAGCGTAAACAAGCAGAGATTGAATGCAAGGTAAACACCCTTTGTATGCTAATGTGTATGCACTTTTCAGTCTTGTCTGCTGTTGTAGGATAAAATTGTCTTAACTGAGAAACAGAAATCACAAAACCAAAACTTTCTTTTACTGATTTGACAATATCATCTTGAATTTACCATCTCTCAAGAATCACTTGAGGTTTTGACAGAGCTGCTGCTTTGTGGTCCCACAAAGATAAACTTGTACTTTGAAGTGTAGTTCTACTCAGAAAAGTGTCTGCGTATAGTGTATAAAAAGACACTCTCACACAACAGATTCTGTTCACTGTGTACTGTCTGTAGCGACAGAAGAGGTTCATTATTTCAACACTGACTATTACCATAATTAGGTTCAAAAAAAGGGAGTAAAAATAGTATTTGAATGGAGGAGTCTACAGAAGCGAGTGTTACAGTAGTCATTGCCTAATAGTAACCAGACTTCAAGAGGACAGCCCTAAAACACTGGGCAAAATGCTAATTTTTATTGCTGTCAATGCGCAAGAGAGCCCAATCTAATGTTTGAATTGCAGATTGAATTAATTTTGTAACTAAATCCATAACCATTTACTACTAACCTATGTTTTTAACTTGTACACACATAATATGATCAAGAAATAAAGTGTAAGATGTAGAAACTCTTTTCCCCTCAACTTGGATGAAAATTTATCTGAAATTGCTACTGATACTTACTTCAGAAAAGGGCAGTATTAGCTGACAAATCACTATAGTTAAGATATTATTTGCTAGAGACGTCAAAACACCTTTTTACTTAAATCTTATTTCTGAAAGATGTATGAATAGCCTTTTATGAAATCAGCTAGTGTGGAACAGTCAGTAATTTCTATTTAGGATACCTATTAGTATGTTAAACATACTACTGTAATATGAGATGAATAATGGGAATACTATTTATTAAATTCTGGCTGTGAAGTGGCAACTTGAGAGCAGATGCTGTTGTATAATTTGTTCGTGATCACATCTTAGTTTTGCCCTTAATGTAAGCAGACCTTTTTTATATGCAGTACTTGTTTCTGTTCTCATTCATGCAGAACACTGTTATTGGTTGAGGCTGTTGTTCAATTTTATCCAATATACATGCGTTTTGCTTGTAACACTGTGTGTTACGACTGCAGTAGCTGCAATTCCATCAAAGGCTTCTGTGGACAATATGAACCAAGGGTGTAGCGTGAGTGATTTAGCATCCTTGCTCAGCCTGGAGATGAAATGCCACCCTTATTAATACACATTGTTTTACTATACTATCACACTTCTCAGGTTTTACAGATTTTAATTTCCTCTTGTAATTTCTTTTCTCCAAGATAATGCACAAATTTAGGCAGCTTAGTTATATAGTAAACTCTGATCTTGTGTTCGTTACTCAAAGCCGTAGTGTGTCATTTGTAACTGGCAATTTCTTGCTTGTTTAGCCTTAGTTATAGTTCTCTCAGCAAAATGAAGCTGACTGTTGTTCAGTTCCATTTTAAAGAAATTGGTGAGCACTATATAACTGAGATGTGTACTCCAGGTATTTCAGGGGTTTTTAGGTTTTTGTTTTTCTTGCTGTCTTGCCAGTTCCATTTGCTTCAAATGGAACCGGACTCTAAAGAGCAGTGAAGACCTAACTTCAAACTCCAGCTCTTAACCAAACTCCATCACAGGCTTTTGGGAAACAAGAAGCCGATTCTTAACTAGAAGAACCTGGTTTTGTTTACCGTAGTCACTGGTTTCCTAAGTGCTAGTTTTAATACTGAGATTATTCTTATTTTGTTAATATTAACAATCTTGATGACTTGTCTTTTCACACAACCCATAACTTTTTTGTTTGGTTGGCTTTTGATACTGAAGGTCCTCATTAATCCTTAAGAGACCGAGAGGATGTAGTCAATATTCTGAAGCTTTTATGTTGACTATAAAAAGAATAATATGTCTTTAACGTGACTAATGAGTTAATGTAAGTGACTACTCTCACTGGGATAATTTACTTGGAAAGTTGTGTTCTAACATGGGTTAGAGAAAAGTGTGATAGTAACAGATAGGGCAGCAGTCATGTTTCTTAGACATTGAAAGTAGCAGTGGTCAAGAGCCAGTGACGTAGTGGTACCGATGTAAACTCACATCAGATCCTGAAACTTCTCTTACAGCCACTGATAGGAAAAAGATTGCAGTTTACATTGTAACATGTTTCCCAAGTTGATCTTTATGATATGAAATTAAATATTATCAGTTTGATGCATATACGTTGCCTGGAGTTCTACTGTTTAACTGTCGCTGCTTGGGATGAGGCTTAGTATAATCCCAGACTGCTGTAGTGTAAATATACAAGTGGGTTTTGCTAACTGTATTGAAAGATGCTCAAATTTAATTTGTAGGAAACTACCTTTCTTCAGTGCAGTTTCCCCTCATATTCCCTTTTCTCTCTACCTCCAACATTTGTTGTGAACTGTTATTGTGATTTTATTCTCCAATAACCTAAACAACTCAGCAATGTTTTACAGATTTAATAAGAATGCCATGTCATCAGAGAAATGAAGCCATGTTAAACAATACAGGCAGGTTTAAGTGTTGTTCCACTCCTCAAATGGGACTTAACTTGATATTGATTTTCCTCTTGCTGTTTCAAACTTATGAAAAAAACTTAAATTTCAAACTCTAACTATATTATAATATACATTTAAGTGAAAAATGAGAGGATATAAAAAGCCATTGTCCTTTTGACAGTTGTTTTGTAAGGGTTGTCATTCTGTTTCCTGTCCTTTGCTCTCCACATTAAAACTACTAGAAGTTTAAGATTAAGCTAAGATTAATGCTAAATACTTTAACTTTTTCTTGTTATGGAAGAGACAATTATAGGTTCCTGTCTCCCTGCCTCTGTACCGCAATGAATGAAGGAAATTCCTGCTTGGGATTGTTTAGGGTTATTTTTTCTGTGTGAGGAGGAAAAGAGATTTTAAGTTAATTGAAAGGGGGGAAAAAAGGCTGGAATTTCAAGGAGAAAGTTGTTACGCTTGTCAAGCCAAAACCTTGCCATGTTACTGTTTGGATTTTTTTTATACTAACCAGATGTATAAGAAACTAGTGTGTCCTATGGCTGCTATGTGAATGCATGGCTGCTAGTGTGAATGCGTAGCCTCAGCAGTATCAGCAGACTTGCCATACCTACAGTCCTTCTAAAGTAGCTTCAGTACCTGTAACGTTACTAAGTGGTGTTGCTGCCAACTTAGATTTGGCTTGACACACAGATAATAGCAGGTAGGTTGAATTGAAAATACTGTTGCATTCGAATCTGATGGAGAAAGCCTCACTAATCTTTCAGGTGGTGCCATAGAGCAATATGTACAAATGTTAAGTTTTTGTAGCACTAAATATTTTTCAGGTTCTACTTTGCATCTCCTGAAATCATGGACATTTGTTATTCCTGATTCCATTAGAAACTGATGTTTGATTTTTGTTCTTTGCTTTGTTTCAAGTCATCTGAAATGATGCTCTAGTTTAATTCTGTCACTACATCATGGCTAGGTAGCAATATTTCTACTTGAAGAGGTGTCTCAGAAAATATGTATCTGTATTTTCAACTCCTTGATTTTTTTTCTATGCAGAAGTGGTGCATTATTTCTGGAGCTTGTCTTTTTCTTTAAAGGATAGCTTAAAATACATAAGCAGAAATTAAGATGTTTGTAGCAAGTTGCATCTCTTACCACCTACATGGCATCTGTTTTCTGTCACTGGTGTGTACTGTTACGTTTTCCCCTTTTTATCTGGCTGCTTCTACAGCAAGGACTTAATTTCAAATTGTTTCCTGAAACGCAACACTGATCTGTCTAATCAGTTTTGCTAAAGAATTTACAACATAAGATTTGTGCCCCCACCTCGGTCTTGCCTTTCCAACCATATCAGCTTCTGTGGTAACTGCTGAGAACACGCTCCATTGCAGAGATAAAGCATCAGTGCCGTCTAGAGCAACGCTATTGACTCATCTCGGATACCAGAGGCAAACCAAGCCAGTCCGTCCTTCAGCTTTCCGTTAGATACATGCAATCCTGTGGACTTGTGGGTTTGACTTCGTTCAAGCAATCGTACAGCAGAATTTAGCAATAATGGCTAAACTTTGGCTAGCACATGATGGATTCCTCTGAAACGGACTCCACTGATTACAAATGCTGTTAATTGGACCCTGTAGATGATGTACCTTCATTACAGGAATCATATTTCTGAGTAGCCACTATAGATGAGCTTTGACATGTTCAATTTAGTCTCAACCAAACTATCTAATGGTGGTTAATTACTGTCAGCTTGAAGCACACATGAAAATAACTGAAATACGGGAACTGATTTACAGTAAGGTCCAGTTTGCAGGTTTACACCAGTATGCCATAACAGTAGGTGTACCTGAGCCTGGTCTGTCTCTGCTCCAGAATTATCTTGCACTCCAGCTGAAAGTACTGCCCACTCCATATCTATCGCTGTGTTCTCTCTGTGGTTAGGGTACCAACCTGCCAGCAAGATAATAGTTGTGCTCTGAACTCTTGAGAACTTGCTTCATAAAACACACATTTCCTTCTCTTGTCTAAACTCAAATCGGCTATCGCTTGTAGGCAAACTTACAGATTAAAGTTACACTAGGAGTCTGATTGTGGGTTACAGGCATTAGAGTTTTATTCTAAACTGTCCTGCAAATCTTTGTTGTTGACTGTGACTAAGATAGCTGGACTTAAGGGAGGTTGAGAATATCTGTGCTTTTGTTTGTTTTAATTATTTTTTTTTAGACAAAGAGAATGATGAAATAAGGAACTTGTGTAGCTTTGCTGTTTATTTATATATA